GCCCCTGGAAGCGCCGCACCTGTCAGGGCAAATGGGAGGCCCCCAGGGAGCGCTGCCCTGTACGGCCCCTGGGTTCAGTTGTTTTTGCACAATTTAGAAAAATGGGAGATATGACGTTATATAAATACACCGCCCATCGAATTTCCAGTATCATAGCATAATAAACAATGTAAAGGAGAATAAATATCCAACAGGAAAACATAAATTGGGGTGTTGTGCTGACTGACTGCTCTGTTCTCCTATTGGCTGTTATTTGGTGTAGTTACATTTTAGTCCACCAATCACAGTTAAGTAAGGGATTGGTGGACGTATGCAATATGTACGACACCACAACCAAGCAAACTATAGGGATCCTGCGAGGGGACGTCTCTAGTAGGCCCCGTGGTGTCGCCCCCGCCCCTGGGAGAGCCCCTGAGAGTACCGCTATCCATGGGAGGGCCCCTAAGGGCGCCGACAACCTTGGGAGGGCCCTGGGTGCGCCACAGCCCCTGGAAGAGGCCCTGGGGGGGGGGGCGGGGGCAAAATACCTGTTAGAGACCCTCCGCCACCTTTGGGAGGGCCCCGAGGAACGCCGCCGCTTCTGAGATGGCCCTGGGGGCGCCATAACCCCTGGAAGACACCCTGGGGCTGCTACAACCCCTGGTAGGGCCCCTGGGGGCGTTACTGCTCCTGAGAGGGCTCCGGGTAGCCGCACCTACCCTAGAGAGGGTCCTTGGGGGCGTCGCCGCCCCTGGGACGGCCACTGGGTGCGCCGACGTTCCTGCGAGGGCCCCTTAGGGCGCCGCACCTGGTAGGGCAAATGGGAGGGCCCATGGGAGCGTTGCCCCCGGAGGGCATCTGGGGGCAGTTGTTTTTGCAATAATTAGAACAATGGGAGATATGACGTTAAATAAATAAACCACCCATGGCATTTCCAGTATCATCGAATTATGAACAATGTAAAGGAGAATAAATATCCAACAGGAAAACATAAATTGGGGTGTTGTGCTGACTGACTGCTCTGTTCTCCTATTGGCTGTTATTTGATGTATTTATATTTTAGTCCCCTGTGGTGAAAGAAGACTAGAGTCGACCTTTTTTTAGGTTTTATTGTTCATATAACTGACCAAGGGAAGTATGGCATCTGGAAGAGAACAAAAGAATATTCTAGTAAGTGAAGGGAACAATGAAAATGACTAATATAATATATCCCCAAACAAAACAAAACCCAATGATAAGAAACATAACATATATATACAAACGCACGTAACAAGACAGAAGACCCTGGCAAGCCCTGGGGTCCCAGCAACACCTAAAGAGGTCCCCTGAGGGCGCTGCCTCCATTGGGAAGGCCACTAGTAACGCTTCAGCATCTGGGAGGGCACCTGAAAGCCCCACCGCCCCTGGGAAGGCCCCTGGGGGCACCAACGACCCTCCCAGGGCTCCTGGGACTCCACATCCCCTGGCAGGGCCCCTCAGAGCGCCGTTGTCCCTGAGAGGGCTCCGGGGGCGCTACTGGCACTGGGTGCGCCGTTGCCCCTGGGAATGCCCCTGGAAGCGCCGCACCTGTCAGGGCAAATGGGAGGCCCCCAGGGAGCGCTGCCCTGTACGGCCCCTGGGTTCAGTTGTTTTTGCACAATTTAGAAAAATGGGAGATATGACGTTACATAAATACACCGCCCATCGAATTTCCAGTATCATCGCATAATAAACAATGTAAAGGAGAATAAATATCCAACAGGAAAACATAAATTGGGGTGTTGTGCTGACTGACTGCTCTGCTCTCCTATTGGCTGTTATTTGGTGTAGTTACATTTTAGTCCACCAATCACAGTTAAGTAAGGGATTGGTGGATGTATGCAATATGTACGACACCACAACCAAGCAAACTATAGGGATCCTGCGAGGGGACGTCTCTAGTAGGCCCCGTGGTGTCGCCCCCGCCCCTGGGAGGGCCCCTGGGAGTACCGCTATCCATGGGAGGGCCCCTGGGGGCGCCGACAACCTTGGGAGGGCCCTGGGGGCGCCACAGCCCCTGGAAGAGGCCCTGGGGGGGGGCGGGGGCAAAATACCTGTTAGAGACCCTCCGCCACCTTTGGGAGGGCCCCGAGGAACGCCGCCGCTTCTGAGATGGCCCTGGGGGCGCCATAACCCCTGGAAGACACCCTGGGGCTGCTACAACCCCTAGTAGGGCCCCTGGGGGCGTTACTGCTCCTGAGAGGGCTCCGGGTAGCCGCACCTACCCTAGGGAGGGTCCTTGGGGGCGTCGCTGCCCCTGGGACGGCCACTGGGTGCGCCGACGTTCCTGCGAGGGCCCCTTAGGGCGCCGCACCTGGTAGGGCAAATGGGAGGGCCCATGGGAGCGTTACCCCCGGAGGGCATCTGGGGGCAGTTGTTTTTGCAATACTTAGACCAATGGGAGATATGACGTTAAATAAATAAACCGCCCATGGCATTTCCAGTATCATCGAATTATGAACAATGTAAAGGAGAATAAATATCCAACAGGAAAACATAAATTGGGGTGTTGTGCTGACTGACTGCTCTGTTCTCCTATTGGCTGTTATTTGATGTATTTATATTTTAGTCCCCTGTGGTGAAAGAAGACTAGAGTCGACCTTTTTTTAGGTTTTATTGTTCATATAACTGACCAAGGGTAGTATGGCATCTGGAAGAGAACAAAAGAATATTCTAGTAAGTGAAGGGAACAATAAAAATTACTAATATAATATATCCCCAAACAAAACAAAACCCAATGATAAGAAACATAACATATATATACAAACGCACGTAACAAGACAGAAGACCCTGGCAATCCCTGGGGTCCCAGCAACACCTAAAGAGGTCCCCTGAGGGCGCTGCCTCCATTGGGAAGGCCACTAGTAGCGCTTCAGCATCTGGGAGGGCACCTGAAAGCCCCACCGCCCCTGGGAAGGCCCCTGGGCACCAACGACCTCCCAGGGCTCCTGGGACTCATATCCGGCAGGGGCCCTCAGGAGCGCTGCTTGTCCCTGGAGAGGGTTCCGGGGGCGCCATTGCACTGCGCTGCTGCCCTGGGAATGCCCCCAGCGCTGCACCTGTCAGGGCAATGGGAGGCCCCCAGGAGCGCTGCCCCTGTACGGCCCCTGGGTTCAGTTACGGTAATAATTTAGAAAAATGGAGATATGACGTTATTATTATATAAATACAATTACCATTGCATTTCCAGTATCATCGCAAGAAAAACAATGTAAAGGAGAATAAATATCCAACAGGAAAACATAAATTAGGGTGTTGTGCTGACTGACTGTTCTTCTCTCCTATTGGCTGTTATTTGGTGGGTTTACATTTTCTTCCACCAATCACAGTTAAGTAAGGGATTGGTGACGGTTAAAAACATGTGTAATGGCTAATTACAAACTACAAACTATAGGATCCTGCGAGGGACGTCTCTAGTAGGCCCCGTGGTGTCGCCCCCGCCCCTGGGAGGGCCCCTGGGAGTACCGCTATCCATGGGAGGGCCCCTGGGGGCGCCGACAACCTTGGGAGGGCCCTGGGGGCGCCACAGCCCCTGGAAGAGGTCCTGGGGGGGGCGGGGGCAAAATACCTGTTAGAGACCCTCCGTCACCTTTGGGAGGGCCCCGAGGAACGCCGCCGCTTCTGAGATGGCCCTGGGGGCGCCATAACCCCTGGAAGACACCCTGGGGCTGCTACAACCCCTGGTAGGGCCCCTGGGGGCGTTACTGCTCCTGAGAGGGCTCCGGGTAGCCGCACCTTCCCTAGGGAGGGTCCTTGGGGGCGTCGCCGCCCCTGGGACGGCCACTGGGTGCGCCGACGTTCCTGCGAGGGCCCCTTAGGGCGCCGCACCTGGTAGGGCAAATGGGAGGGCCCATGGGAACGTTGCCCCCGAGGGCATCTGGGGGCAGTTGTTTTTGCAATACTTAGAACAATGGGAGATATGACGTTAAATAAATAAACCGCCCATGGCATTTCCAGTATCATCGAATTATGAACAATGTAAAGGAGAATAAATATCCAACAGGAAAACATAAATTGGGGTGTTGTGCTGACTGACTGCTCTGTTCTCCTATTGGCTGTTATTTGATGTATTTATATTTTAGTCCCCTGTGGTGAAAGAAGACTAGAGTCGACCTTTTTTTAGGTTTTATTGTTCATATAACTGACCAAGGGTAGTATGGCATCTGGAAGAGAATAAAAGAATATTCTAGTAAGTGAAGGGAACAATGAAAATGACTAATATAATATAACCCCAAACAAAACAAAACCCAATGATAAGAAACATAACATATATATACAAACGCACGTAACAAGACAGAAGACCCTGGCAAGCCCTGGGGTCCCAGCAACACCTAAAGAGGTCCCCTGAGGGCGCTGCCTCCATTGGGAAGGCCACTAGTAGCGCTTCAGCATCTGGGAGGCACCTGAAAGCCCACCGCCCCTGGGAAGGCCCTGGGGAGGCACCAACGACCCTCAGGGCTCCTGGGACTCTACATCCCTAGCAGGGGCCCCTCAGAGCATAGTTGTCCCTGAGAGGGCTCCGGGGCGCTACTGGCACTGGGTGCCGTTGCCCTGGGAATGCCCCTGGAAACTGCCACCTGTCCAGGGTAAATAGGAGGCCCCAGGGAGCGCTGCCCTGTACGGCCCCTGGAGTTCAGTTGTTTTGCACTATTTAGAACAATGGTAGATATGACATTAAATAAATACACTACCCATTACATTCCCAGTATCATCTCACCATGAACAATGTAAAGGAGAATAAATATTCAACAGGAAAACATAAGTTGGGGTGTTGTGCTGACTGACTGCTCTGTTCTCCTATTGGCTGTTATCTGGCGGATTTACATTTTAGTCCACCAATCACAGTTAAGTAAAGGATTGCTGTAAGTATGCAATATATACGACACCATGACCAAGCAAGCTATAGGGCTCCTGGAGGGGCGTCTAGTAGGCCCCGTGGTGTCGCCCCCCCGCCCTGGGAGGGCCCTGGGAGTACCGCTATCCATGGGAGGGCCCCTGGGGGCGCCGACAACCTTGGGAGGGCCCTGGGGGCGCCACAGCCCCTGGAAGAGGCCCTGGGGTGGGGGGGGGCGGGGGCAAAATACCTGTTAGAGACCCTCCACCACCTTTGGGAGGGCCCCGAGGAACGCCGCCGCTTCTGAGATGGCCCTGGGGGCGCCATAACCCCTGGAAGACACCCTGGGGCTGCTACAACCCCTAGTAGGGCCCCTGGGGGCGTTACTGCTCCTGAGAGGGCTCCGGGTAGCCGCACCTACCCTAGGGAGGGTCCTTGGGGGCGTCGCTGCCCCTGGGACGGCCACTGGGTGCGCCGACGTTCCTGCGAGGGCCCCTTAGGGCGCCGCACCTGATAGGGCAAATGGGAGGGCCCATGGGAGCGTTACCCCCGGAGGGCATCTGGGGGCAGTTGTTTTTGCAATACTTAGACCAATGGGAGATATGACGTTAAATAAATAAACCGCCCATGGCATTTCCAGTATCATCGAATTATGAACAATGTAAAGGAGAATAAATATCCAACAGGAAAACATAAATTGGGGTGTTGTGCTGACTGACTGCTCTGTTCTCCTATTGGCTGTTATTTGATGTATTTATATTTTAGTCCCCTGTGGTGAAAGAAGACTAGAGTCGACCTTTTTTTAGGTTTTATTGTTCATATAACTGACCAAGGGTAGTATGGCATCTGGAAGAGAACAAAAGAATATTCTAGTAAGTGAAGGGAACAATAAAAATTACTAATATAATATATCCCCAAACAAAACAAAACCCAATGATAAGAAACATAACATATACAAACATACGTAACAAGACAGAAGACCCTGGCAAGCCCTGGGGGTCCCAGCAACACCTAAAGGGTCCCTGAATGCTGCCTCATTAGGGGAGGCCACTAGTAGCGCTTTCAGCATCTGGGAGGCACCTGAAGCCACCGCCCCTGGGAAGGCCCCTGGGGGGGTACCAGCAGCCTCCCAGGGCTCCTGGGACTCCACATCCCCTGGCAGGGCCCCTCAGAGCGCCGTTGTCCTGTAGAGGGCTCCGGGGGGCGCTACTGGCACTGGGTGCGCCGTTGCCCTAGGAATGCCCTGGAAGCGCCGCACCTGTCATCCAGGGCAAATGGGAAGGCCCCAGGTAGGACTGTCACTGTACGGACCCTGAAGGCAGCTGTTCATGCACATTTAGAACAATGGGATATATGAATAGATACACCGCCCATTGCATTTCCAGTATCATCGCAAGAAAAACAATGTAAAGGAGAATAAATATCCAACAGGAAAACATAAATTAGGGTGTTGTGCTGACTGACTGTTCTTCTCTCCTATTGGCTGTTATTTGGTGGGTTTACATTTTATTCCACCAATCACGGTTAAGTAAGGGATTGCTGGACGTATGCAACTCTGCGACACCACAAGCCAAGCAAACTATAGGGATCCTGCGAGGGGCGTCTCTAAGTAGGCCCGTGGTGTCGCCCCGCCCCTGGGAGGCCCTGGAATACCGCTATCCATGGGAGGGGCCCTGGGGAGCTGCCGACAACCCAACAAGGAGGCCCTGAGGCGCCACAGCCCTGGAAGAAGAGGCCACGGGGGGGGGGGGGGCAAAATACCTGTTAGAGACCCTCCGCCACCTTTGGGAGGGCCCCGAGGAACGCCGCCGCTTCTGAGATGGCCCTAGGGGCGCCATAACCCCTGGAAGACACCCTGGGGCTGCTACAACCCCTGGTAGGGCCCCTGGGGGCGTTATTGCTCCTGAGAGGGCTCCGGGTAGCCGCACCTACCCTAGGGAGGGTCCTTGGGGGCGTCGCCGCCCCTGGGACGGCCACTGGGTGCGCCGACGTTCCTGCGAGGGCCCCTAAGGGCGCCGCACCTGGTAGGGCAAATGGGAGGGCCCATGGGAGCGTTGCCCCCGGAGGGCATCTGGGGGCAGTTAATTTTGCAATACCTAGACCAATGGGAGATATGACGTTAAATAAATAAACCGCCCATGGCATTTCCAGTATCATCGAATTATGAACAATGTAAAGGAGAATAAATATCCAACAGGAAAACATAAATTGGGGTGTTGTGCTGACTGACTGCTCTGTTCTCCTATTGGCTGTTATTTGATGTATTTATATTTTAGTCCCCTGTGGTGAAAGAAGACTAGAGTCGACCTTTTTTAGGTTTTATTGTTCATATAACTGACCAAGGGTAGTATGGCATCTGGAAGAGAACAAAAGAATATTCTAGTAAGTGAAGGGAACAATGAAAATGACTAATATAATATATCCCCAAACAAAACAAAACCCAATGATAAGAAACATAACATATATATACAAACGCACATAACAAGACAGAAGACCCTGGCAAGCCCTGGGGTCCCAGCAACACCTAAAGAGGTCCCCTGAGGGCGCTGCCTCCATTGGGAAGGCCACTAGTAGCGCTTCAGCATCTGGGAGGGCACCTGAAAGCCCCACCGCCCCTGGGAAGGCCCCTGGGGGCACCAACGACCCTCCCAGGGCTCCTGGGACTCCACATCCCCTGGCAGGGCCCCTCAGAGCGCCGTTGTCCCTGAGAGGGCTCCGGGGGCGCTACTGGCACTGGGTGCGCCGTTGCCCCTGGGAATGCCCCTGGAAGCGCCGCACCTGTCAGGGCAAATGGGAGGCCCCCAGGGAGCGCTGCCCTGTACGGCCCCTGGGTTCAGTTGTTTTTGCACAATTTAGAAAAATGGGAGATATGACGTTATATAAATACACCGCCCATCGAATTTCCAGTATCATCGCATAATAAACAATGTAAAGGAGAATAAATATCCAACAGGAAAACATAAATTGGGGTGTTGTGCTGACTGACTGCTCTGTTCTCCTATTGGCTGTTATTTGGTGTAGTTACATTTTAGTCCACCAATCACAGTTAAGTAAGGGATTGGTGGACGTATGCAATATGTACGACACCACAACCAAGCAAACTATAGGGATCCTGCGAGGGGACGCCTCTAGTAGGCCCCGTGGTGTCGCCCCCGCCCCTGGAAGGGCCCCTGGGAGTACCGCTATCCATGGGAGGGCCCCTGGGGGCGCCGACAACCTTGGGAGGGCCCTGGGGGCGCCACAGCCCCTGGAAGAGGCCCTGGGGGGGGGGGCGGGGGCAAAATACCTGTTAGAGTCCCTCCGCCACCTTTGGGAGGGCCCCGAGGAACGCCGCCGCTTCTGAGATGGCCCTGGGGGCGCCATAACCCCTGGAAGACACCCTGGGGCTGCTACAACCTCTGGTAGGGCCCCTAGGGGCGTTACTGCTCCTGAGAGGGCTCCGGGTAGCCGCACCTGCCCTAGGGAGGGTCCTTGGGGGCGTCGCCGCCCCTGGGACGGCCACTGGGTGCGCCGACGTTCCTGCGAGGGCCCCTTAGGGCGCCGCACCTGGTAGGGCAAATGGGAGGCCCATGGGAACGTTGCCCCGGAGAGTGTCTAGGGGGGCAGTCGTTTCTGCACTATTTAGAACAATGGGAGATATGACGTTCATAAATACACTGCCCATCACATTTTCAGTATCATCTTAACATGAATAATGTAAAGGAGAATAAATATCCAACAGGAAAACATAAGTTGGGGTGTTGTGCTGACTGACTGCTCTGTTCTCCTATTGGCTGTTGTGTATTTATATTCCCCAGTCCCTGTGGGTGAAAGAAAGCTAAGTCGACCTTTTTTGGGTTTTATTGTTCATATAACTGACCAAGGGCAGTATGGCATCTGGAAGAAAACAAAAGAATATTCTAGTAAGTGAAGGGAACAATGAAAATTACTAATATAATATAACCCCAAACAAAACAAAACCCAATGATAAGAAACATAGCATATATACAAACTGCATAACAGACAAGAAGACCTGGCAAGCCCTGGGGTCCCAGCAACACCCTAAAGAGGTCCCCTGAGAATGCTGCCTCCATTAGGAAGGCCACTGTGGCGCTTCATCTGGGAGGGCACCTGAAGCCCCACCACCGCCCCTGGGAAGGCCCCTGGGGGCACAACGACCCTCCCAGGGCTCCTGGGACTCCACATCCCTGGCAGGGCCTCAGAGCGCCGTTGTCCCTAGAGAGGCTCCGGGGGCGCTACAACGCAAGTTGCGCATTTGGGAATGCCTGGGCGCCGCACCTGTCAGGGCAAATGGGGAGGCCCCCAGGAGCACTTTGCCCTCTTTTTGGCCCCTGGGTTCAGTTGTTTTTGCACAATTTAGAAAAATGGGAGATATGACGTTATATAAATACACCGCCCATCGAATTTCCAGTATCATCGCATAATAAACAATGTAAAGGATAATAAATATCCAACAGGAAAACATAAATTGGGGTGTTGTGCTGACTGACTGCTCTGTTCTCCTATTGGCTGTTATTTGGTGTAGTTACATTTTAGTCCACCAATCACAGTTAAGTAAGGGATTGGTGGACGTATGCAACATGTACGACACCACAACCAAGCAAACTATAGGGATCCTGCGAGGGGACGTCTCTAGTAGGCCCCGTGGTGTCGCCCCCGCCCCTGGGAGGGCCCCTGGGAGTACCGCTATCCATGGGAGGGCCCCTGGGGGCGCCGACAACCTTGGGAGGGCCCTGGGGGCGCCACAGCCCCTGGAAGAGGCCCTGGGGGGGGCGGGGGCAAAATACCTGTTAGAGACCCTCCGCCACCTTTGGGAGGGCCCCGAGGAACGCCGCCGCTTCTGAGATGGCCCTGGGGGCGCCATAACCCCTGGAAGACACCCTGGGGCTGCTACAACCCCTGGTAGGGCCCCTGGGGGCGTTACTGCTCCTGAGAGGGCTCCGGGTAGCCGCACCTACCCTAGGGAGGGTCCTTGGGGGCGTCGCCGCCCCTGGGACGGCCACTGGGTGCGCCGACGTTCCTGCGAGGGCCCCTTAGGGCGCCGCACCTGGTAGGGCAAATGGGAGGGCCCATGGGAACGTTGCCCCCGGAGGGCATCTGGGGGCAGTTGTTTTTGCAATACTTAGAACAATGGGAGATATGACGTTAAATAAATAAACCGCCCATGGCATTTCCAGTATCATCGAATTATGAACAATGTAAAGGAGAATAAATATCCAACAGGAAAACATAAATTGGGGTGTTGTGCTGACTGACTGCTCTGTTCTCCTATTGGCTGTTATTTGATGTATTTATATTTTAGTCCCCTGTGGTGAAAGAAGACTAGAGTCGACCTTTTTTTAGGTTTTATTGTTCATATAACTGACCAAGGGTAGTATGGCATCTGGAAGAGAATAAAAGAATATTCTAGTAAGTGAAGGGAACAATGAAAATGACTAATATAATATAACCCCAAACAAAACAAAACCCAATGATAAGAAACATAACATATATATACAAACGCACGTAACAAGACAGAAGA